TATCGCATGAAAGAAGTCACTATGTCGCATGGACTGAACATGCTTTTAGTACGACCTTGAGAACGCCGTCAGAATCGCAGTCCCAAACACCCTTCCTCCTGGTGGATGTCCTTTCTTGACATTTCTTATCCACCTCTTCCACCTAATAATGTCCTTAGATGGATCCGTTAAACTTGATGTAACTGATTAGTACTTTACTTTCCATCAAACTAAGATGTACTAGGAGATGAACGACTTTGGAGTGTACACGCGCATTTTCATATATCCCCACAATTGTATAGAGCGGGAGATTTGCCTGTGCGGTTCTAGATGGTCCGCTAGAGTTCCAGCCGAATTTCGCAAAGCGGTGAGCAAAAGATATGACGCTCAGATCGCGATGTTCAGCATCTACAATTCTCATTTATACATGTTTCTGCGCAGATTAGATCGGAGAGGATGTCAGCATATTATGTATACCTTTTAACTTCTACATGAACTTGTTCTTTCTGAGCTATGCAGGACTGTTTGTGTTATATTATACCTATATGACCTGATGTTTTGGTGTGGCCGTTTGTTTGGGAGGTTAGAGTATGGTAAGAAAATTATACATTTACTCATAGGCATCCCTTTGTTGTTAGGCCTCCTAGTAATTAAATACAGAATTGTTGGCACGTGTAATTGAAAAAAATAAAAACCTTAAAAAATGAGGCCCCCTGCCAGCCCAGTGCATAATTATTTCGTTAATCTCACAACTGAAGGTTTTTTTTTTTAAATAAATCATTAAGCTGAGTGTACAATGCTGGCCTGCATGTAACTAATACTCTATAATATAAGTGTTCGAATTAATGATAATATTATTTCTTTTCATATATATGTTAGATCTATAGTATCAGATGTATAACGGTCCTTTGTGGTGATATACTAAAAGATCTACCGTGTTTATAACGCGAAATAAATAACTTAGGCGAAGCAACAAATTAGAGTTATAGGTATCTGTTTAGAGTCTGAGCACATGGAGTGGAGATGGATCGGTGCAATAATTCATGTGGCTAAAGGCTTCAGTTTATGTTCCTTTCTATTGCAGACATTAATAGCAGAATGAGCTTAATTAATTTGACCGAAATATATATTCATGTACAGTGTCCAAGGTGTTGTATATTTTCTTAAGAGGAGTTAATGCCCACTATGTTATGATATCTTTTCTTGTTTCTACACAAAAGTATTTAATCAGGAGACATAAGTTGATTCCAGTCTCTGTATTCTTAAACTAAAAACAAAATAGACCCCAGGATGTCTCCTTTATTTAGCCTCCTTCCTTTACACATAGGTTAAATCTCCTTTACTGTATTTGGGGATACATTGGAACAAAATTAACACGACGTTTCTCTATTTATTATATTATTTGATTGTTGTTCTGGAAATTAAATCACCTGGTAAGGGGAGTGTTGATTTTAAATACCGATTTGGGGTTCCTTTAAATGGATTTCAGATAGAACTTTTCAAATTAGTAATAGAACAATGCTGCTAATGATAAATATTCTAACAAGATGGATAAAATTTAGAAGTATTAAATGGATTATATAACTTAATCGGATGGCATGGTGGAAGACGAGTTTTCCAAGATTAATCATTTATAGGTTTAGAGTCATTATTACGTGCATACCTTAATTATCAACTTCTGTTAGTAATAAAGAACAAGATTCAGTATGTAACTCTCTGTAAGCCATGAGTCCTATAAATTGATATTAAGTAGTAAAAATAAATAAATTGAGCGAAATCCTGAAGTTTTCATTCAAACCATGGAACAGTTTCGACAGCTAAAACCATGCCCGATGATTATCTTTGGTAGAAGCTTCACAATACATGCAAGCCATTCTTTCTTATCCATCTCAAAAATAAATATAACTAGTAGCCCGCTTTGAGAAGACTCAAGATTATACCGGACATAATAGTCTCCTTTTACTTCTCCGCACACTTTTTTGCACCTTTCTAAGGTATTTGATCCTTCGCATTGTTAATGTTGTTGAGTTGGGTAGAGGAATGCATCACAGAAAAGGGACAAATATTTTAGGTTGAGTCTGCTATTGAGTTGAAATGTCCAAACAATCTCCCATTTCTCATTCATTAATGGTTTTTGACTTTGAGCCCTTCCCCGAAATAAATAAATCGGGATTATTTTTCCTCGAGTGAGTTGGTGCCCCCCTTCTTTTTGCCCCGAGCAGAGCCTATACATGAGCAACTCTTTCCTTTGACTCACCTACCACAATAGTTGGCTTTTATTTGCAATAACCAAAATCCTAACATATAGTTTAAGACTTTGCAGATCTTGGTTGTGCATCGGAGTTTGGTCCAACACGTTGGCTGGGTCTGTTGGGCTGACATCATGAGGAAAGAAGTGGTGTAGAGACGAAGGCGTGCTATTGACAAACATGCTCGATACTGCCCTCGCCTTTTGTAACGTCTGAATGTAGCTAACGGGGAGTAGTGAGGATTCATTGTTCTTAAGGGGGCACGAAATCCCTAGTGGCTGACATGCTGCTAACCGGAAGCAGTGTAGATCAACTTAAGAATCATTACATCGGCGCTGTGCAGAAGAATCTGATTGGCGCATTATATGGCCCAATCATGGGGTGGGGCTCATCTCCGAGCCTCGCCCGCTCTGCAACACATGGGCTCGGCTATGCGTGCCTGCTTAAGGAGGCTGCATCCTCCAATAACCATGTCGATTATGATCTTAAATTAGTTGTAGTGGTAAGTGATACATCACTCGTGGCCTTATTATACATAGTATAATGTGCTCTGCTCTAGATCGGCCAATTAATAAGCATGCTGGCAATGAGGGTACATGGAGTACAGATGGTAAGGTTATTGTTATTAGAAAAGAATTTATGATAAAGTGGTTGAAAAGAGAGAAGGGGAGATTGTTATTTAATAATGAGAGAACATAACCACAATAAGGAAAGGTATAGGGAGAATGTACAAGGGACTATTGAAGTTAACAAAAAGACACATAATTTAAGTAATTGGTACATTAGTATATTGTTGCTAATAAAGTTATACAAAAAAGTAAGAAAGTCGCTCTAGAAAAGAGTAGATGTGTACCGCATATCTCGGCGCTAGCATGATTTTTGATGCTTGGAACGACCCTGAATGTTGCAAACCTATATTTAATTAGTTATATCTGTACTATTTATTATATAGGCTTTACCTTGCGTTACAGCTATTTTCATACGGGGGTTATTATGGAAGAGTTGTGTGTTGTGTCTATATATATGTTAACTGGTATTATTTATGTGTGGAGGTGAGTGATACAAGGCTAGCGCTTAGTATATTATATAATACATTAGTCTAAAGATATAGGGTTTATATATGTAATAATTGTAAATTTGTTTCATATCTATATAGCTAAACCAAAACAGAATAATAAATATGAAATCAACCTATATGAATGTGGTCCCCCATTTGAATGTATATATATATATATATATATATATATATATGGGTATGTTTGGTACCAAGCACTTAATTTGTGCATCGTAGTAAGGTGACATATTTTCTTCCACTCATTCAAATGGGGGACTATATTCACATGGGTTGAATGTGGTCCCCCCATTTGAATGAGTGGATAAGAATGAGATACCTCACTACCAAGCACAAAATTTGTGCTTGGTACCAACCATACTCATTTTTCTCATATATATATATACATAAACACCTGCAATTTCTTGCTTACTGCAATATTTTTGGCTTCGTAAGATCCATAATTTTTAAATTGAACTCAATCTAATATAAAACCACTTGCATAGCTGCATTGCAGTAGACAGATAGTAAAGAAGTATGTCAATTATCTTCGAAATGGAACTAAGCTGTAAAGGAGATAATCGTTGGTGGCATACCAGAGAATACCCTTAAATTTACACCAAAGTTTTAATCCAGCACTGTGATAAGTTGGGGGTAAAGGCTTTGTTTTGATGTATCGCATACCTTCTTGAACTTCAATATTTGAGTTTCCAGAGTCATTTTTCCTTCTACCTGTTTGTATAAAAATGAATTGTATCACTGGCTTCTATTAGAATCAAACTGAGGATAATGTCCCTTGTTACTGCATTTATTATACTACCCGATGGTTATTTTTTTCTTCTGAACTCTCACATATCGAATACGATGAGCTTTAGGGATTCAAAGGAAGTGTAGCAGGGTATTCAGTGAAAACAGTAGACACAACTGGAGCAGGAGATGCTTTTGTTGGTGCTCTCCTTGTCTCTATTGCAAAGGATGATTCTATCTTTCAGGTCAATTTCTCTTCTTCAAAACTTCAGTATCATAATATCTATTCCTCTCAGTTTTCTTTTTAATCTGTGACCAATATTTATATTCATTTTGTTATTATTCTACAGAATGAAGAGAAGCTGAGGGAGGCACTTGCATTTGCAAATGCGTGTGGTGCGATTTGCACAACCCAGAAAGGAGCAATTCCAGCACTCCCCACCACTGCAGATGCTCTCGAGCTCGTAGGCAGGGGAAAATGAGACCATTGAGAGCATTCTTATCTTAGGATCTTGCATCTCATTATGCCAGGCAAAAATTAATTATCAGTTTGATATTTTCTCTGCGTTTTCTCTTGTTTGTGGTTTTAAGTGACAGAACAGGTTTTTGCTTTACAGCTTTCAATAAGGAAATTATGCATTGTTATGTTGTTCATATTGGTATTCTTTCTTCTGGTGCTTGATTTTTGTTGATACAAGTGATTACTAGAGATATCTTAACAGAATAGAGACGCGGTGAAATGATTTCTACCAGAACCCTGCATGGTGCAAGTATATCTGAACTGACAAGGGGCCATCAAAATATGCAAATTGTTCCTCTAAACTCTGTCTAGTCCTATAAGAATTTTCCATAGCTCTGCCGGTTGTGTTCTGATAGAGTGCATATCCTAACAGATGCCCCCATGCGAGTGGGCTGTTTTTCTCAATACAAGGGAAAAGCAGGAGGCTAGTGTGGTAATTTTACTTACCAGTCGTATGAACGAGAACTGCTCACCTGCATGTTGATAGTTCTTATGAAATGTGTAAATATTCTGATATTCCTTCGTGGGCCCAGTAAGTATATATTTTACTAGTGTGCTTAACACAACAGATCTTATGATGGTTACGCTTTCCCATTACGGGCTGCAAGGGATCATATTCTAATACTTAATTAATTTATTCAAAATTCGTTAATTTGTTTTATGATGTATGATACTAGATAAGGGTGAATTTCACAAAACACCAATGGGTTTGCCACTAAACCACCATGAATTTTTTAAATTTCGCTAAACGCCCTTGGTTACACGTTAGGGTGTGTATACTCTGTGAATTTTCAAAATTTCTTAGCTCTAATGAAATTAGTGGCCTATGTTAAATGAACGATATGCATTTTATGCAATAAATCACCAAATTAATTAATTTCAGTTAAATTGAAGGTAGTTAAGAAAGAACCCCGTCAATGATAGCTTATTAAGAAAGCATTATTATTTTTAATTACAAAATATATTGCCATTAAAAAAAAATGTTAAAACCAGTTTAATTTTGTATTTTTACCTAAGTGCCCCTAATAAATTCCGCAATACTACTTTTCTCCCTTAGATTCGAAAAAAACAATGTCTGCTAACACTAAATAGAATTGCTTCCTCATATGGTT